CTTTTCGTGATTCTAAGCCCCTGGCTCTCGAGGTTCTATTCTCTAACCTAAAGTTTTGCCTATCAGAATCAGAAAAGGTAAGGTGGTTGAGAGAAATCCGTCTGAGTCTTCAATTAGATTGGATAGCCAGAGAGGGAATTAAATTAATAATTTTGGAAAGCACCTAAGATACTTTGGATACAGATTCATGAAAGTCTCGTAATGCTCAGACATTCAATCAATATTAGATTAGATAAAGAATTACCTTTCGTTTTACTTCCAAAAATAAAAAACGATAAAAGAAAGAAAACGTATTATTCTTTCTACATATGAGTCAGATTACTTGGATACTTCTAAAAGTATGCATTTACTTGTGTTTACATCTTGTCGATTCTACTAGAAATTCTATAATTAAGAATAACTCATTATAAGATAAGTGAATTTTTTGGAGTAGTTCATCGATGTTGACCAAATACCTCTCCCTTTTTTTGACTCTGCACCAGTGATTTCACTATTATTAGTGAACAATAATGGAATAGTTTCTTCATATTCATAGAAATAGGGGACAAAATTCACATGGATATAGTAAGTCTCGCATGGGCTGGTTTAATGGTAGTTTTTACATTTTCCCTCTCTCTCGTAGTGTGGGGAAGAAGCGGACTCTAGAAGTACTACTAATTGCGGTAATAATCAAACTCTATCAACCTGTATCAATTGTTTTAGTTTTCTAGACCGGTCGGCAAATTTTTTTAATATTTTTTTATTTTTTGTTTTATTGACTCATTTTCTATTTTTATATCAGGGTTTACACCGTTAACCATTCATGGGGTAACCCCTTTTCGAAATCTGAAGAAGTTTACATCAAATTCGGATTATCTGTATTAAATGGATCAAACAAATGAAATTGAGAAAGTATGTACATACATTTAATATTCTATTTAATTTATATTGACATTTCTAAAGAAAAAGAGAGATATGGGTGGATTCCTTTATATTAAGATAGTTCACTTGTATCTTTATACATTACAATAACCATAATGGCTAGTATGGTAGAAAGAGATCTCTTTCTACCATACTAGCGGGCCCCTTAGGCTACTACTACTACTGAGTCTAATGGATTCCTTTCATTTAAGACGAGAAGTTGAAATCTTTTTTTTTTTTATTGATAATCAAATTGTATTTAAATTAATTATTTTGACTAACCGTTTTTACGTAAATTATAAGCAAAAAAGCAGTAGGAATGAGAATGAAGAGTGCAGTAGCAATAAATGCAAGAATATTTACTTCCATAATTTAATCGTTTATTATTATTTTTTTTTCTTTAGAATATCTCGGGATTTAATCCCATAGAGATGAGAAATCTTTCGCTTGTAAACTCACTCAGATGAATTAGATTTCGATGATATCGAATGAAAGAAATATCATGAATAACAATATCGGAACTATAAAATCGATTCATCGTCAAGAATTTAATAGTATAACATAGGAAGATCTTTTATCCACACCGAATACATAATGAGATTCCCGATCCAATCAATAAATATTTATTTATGATTCTTTTTCCCCGCTTTCTTTTCTACAACCTAATACTTTACTTTCCTTGTACAACCATCTGATGAAATATGATAAAAAACCTTTTCTACTTCGATTGTTTACAAAAAGAGTTTCTAAAGAAACTTAAATAAACAATAGAAATCAAATAGAGAAAACAAGTACGAAGTTCAATTTAAAATTTAAAAAATTTTTAAAGGGTCTATCATCTTGTTGGAAAACAAAGAAAGGGAATGTGATAAAGAGATAAAGACGAGTCCCGGTAAAAAAACTAGAATATTCCAAAAAAGTAACTGTTTCAATTTTCTTACGAGTTTTTTCTTCGATATCGACTCTAATCTTTAAAAAGAGCATATTCATTAAGGGAAGACTAATTTTATCTTTATTTTTTAAATATCCTCTTTCCTTGGTTGGATTCGAACTATTTTTAATTCCTTGACTTCATAGAAATAAAAGTATATATAGGTACTCTTGGCAAACGTATTATACGCTATCCTATTTAATTTTCCTACACGAGTTAATGGGAAATTAATTGACAAAAAGCAGAAACCCCATACAGTATCTCTTTCTTTAAGTGTTTAATGCTCTCAATAATTATAATTATACTAATTTACATATGTCTCTCTACCATCAATCGGTGCTAGTTAAAATAATGTAAATAGCCCTTTCTTTTGCTTGATGAAAAAAGAAAAAAAAAAAAGGGGGGGGGTTATGTCTTTTTTTTTTATTGAATCCACCGGGACTGACGGGGCTCGAACCCGCAGCTTCCGCCTTGACAGGGCGGTGCTCTGACCAATTGAACTACAATCCCATGGAAATCAAGTGGGGTAGCTTAAATATTCCTTATTATGATTTCATTTTAATCATTTCAATGTGAGATTCAAATTAGTGTTGTAACAAAGAAAGTCACAAGTGATATATTGATATCTATATGGATATCACTTTAGTGATAGCAAGACGGATTACTGGT